GTTCAAGTGAGTCTAGTTGCTGAAAGAAGTCCACAGCATCCTCGTACGGCAAATCGTTGCTTCCGCCCACGTAGTCCATAAGCTGCATTGGACAGCGGGGACATGTGCGCCATGGCATCTGACCACAATGCACCACGCAAATCCAGGAGGCACAGAGAGGACAAACTGCCCACCGGGGCAGCTGCAAGCCGGCCTCTCTGTGGCAGAGTGTGCACGTGATGCGTGCGTTTAGTTGAACAATACGGAAGAGGCCGGAAACTAGCCATCTGATGGAAATGGCGGGGTCTCACATGAATCCATGAAAAAACCTGGGCGAGAGGCGACACAGCGTCAGGAGCCCCGTCACGGAGGCGAGCGACAGACACTCCTGCTCCATCCACTGACAGCTCGAACATCCTCTGATCCCACCGGATAGCAAAACGATGGAGCCGGCTGGGAAGCAGCGGACATCGATGTCGACGTTGGTGAATCTGTGGAGGCATGTCATCCAACGCAAAGGAAACTGTCGCGTTTCCCGGAAGAGATTGTCAATGCGACAGTATGCTTGCCGTGTTCCGCGCCATTCTCGAACGCCAATGTACAGGCCCACTGCTTCATCAGGTAGAACCAAGTCAAAGCAAGCGCATCCCATGAGTGGGCCATCGGATGAGAAACCTGCAACACCCCTTCTTGTTGCATTGCTAGGAGCCACCGTTGTCGCTGCCCAATCAAGCAGCATGCGCTCCGGAATGATGTGAAACATAGCGAGGTGCCGGACATTGATGTGGACCACGCCAGCCGTGCTGTAAGCATTCGACATTGCACGCACGAGCTGTGGGTCATCGAACTCCGACACATTCAACGAGCTGCGTTTGTTTCGCCAATGTTCGCATCCTGAACTGATCGGAGCATACGCCGAGATGCACAAGCAAGCATCTTGAGATAATGATAGGAGAAATAGAAGCCAGGAAGTGCCTCCAACAGCTCCGCGGGTAGCCCTCCCCCAGTGTAGTCCAACCTTTCATCGGCCACTCTCCGCCCGAACGAATCCGGTCGAGCGCCCCGGAAGCCCTCGTCCGAATCAACCTCATTGGACTCATTGGCACTGTCCTGAGACGCTTGAAGCATTGACGCTCGCGAAGGAAGGTGGGACCCGCCATACATATCTTCTTGGTCTGAAGGCGCTTCGAAGCGCCTGGACCCTGACGATGACACACTCGCACAATCAGTTTCGGAACTTGCCTCGTGGTCATCTTCCAAGAGCCTGTCGGAGAAAGGGGAGGTTGTGAAGCGAATTGGGTACGGCTGCGCAATGGCAAGCACTGCCGGCACTGCCGCGTCTGCGAATTGAAAATCCTGCCACGTCTCAATGATATCCACCGCATTTGTCTCTACCAGTTTTCCACCCTGGTAGTCGGGGACGTAGGGCCGCTCACCATCAGAAAGAAGCTCTACCCTGAAGACACAATCCAACAACGAAGTATCAATACTCAGCATGCCAGTTTCTGAGTCGCGAGAGAGGCAATGGCCCATAGCATGTTCTCGCTCCACAAAACTGGTCCATGTGTGCGTACGATGACTCAGATTGAGCTGAACTCCGTCTTCTCCATGCCGGCCGGCGATGAAATGATTCTCGAATGCCAGGATGTAGTTGCCGGCAGTCGTAGTGAAGTCTTGCCAACTCGACGGCTGTATGCATCTCCTGCGCACAGATTTAGCCACAACATCTACAAAGCTTGCGATGCTGTTCGGAAGTGTTCATGTGTACCACCAGTTACCAAAGGCAGCATATTTGCCAAGAGTCCCGCGGCTTTCCAGCCACTCATTTCCACGCCGAACGCTGAACGGACCATGTGCTTGGTGCCGAACCTTCAGACCGGGCTCGCAGGGAGTCCACCAGACAGCAATTCTCGAAGTGCTCCAATCGGGACTGCGGGTAGCCCGGCGCATTTGCCTTTGGCTGGCCTGAGCTGTCAAAAAGGAACCTCCAAACATGCGCATAAAGCAGTCACCAAGAAGCTCACGTCGTACGCTCCAGCTGAGATGCATGGCGAAGAAGTTCTCCACACACGGCAAGCATTCGTCTTGGAAGAATATCTTCGGTCGCGCGCGCGAAAACCCTTGTACCAGGATGGTCGAGAAATCAGTCGGTGCATCCATGGAGTCCGGAGAAACTTTTTTCTGGATGGTACTGCTTGTCTGAGTCTGGGAGCGATGGCACGCATGAATCTGTCGCCTTGGATGCTCTTGTAAACCGGGGTCAAATTAGCCTTGACACACGACGACACATGCCAAGCACATCCATCTGCATGTGGGGCCACTCCAGTGATCTGCGAGCAGCAGTCCCGGTTCCTCTGGCTTGTAGAGGAGCTTCTTCCCAAAGTGCACGTTGACACCTCAGCTGCTTCCGCGACGTGCTGTCGTTAGTCCCCGGTCACGCAAGACCTGCTGTACAAAGTCACACAGACACGTGCGATTGTTTCTGGGCAGCGTGCACTGTGGCTGGTCGTCCTCTTGGGACTCCCAGACCCAGAACGGTTGGACGTCCGGCACAAGTCTGTCCCAGATCGCCTGGACGAAGTAGTCGCCTCAGAGTTTTCGGTGTTACACACACCAACTCGTTGTTCTGCAATCATGTAATAAGGTTACCAAGAAGCACCACTCCGTCGCTTCACCAGGTCCGTCCGGCTGAATCCACTGGTTTCCAACCCAGACAGACCCATTGTGCTCAATCAGACAGGTCTGGTTCTGCCTTACAAAAAAGGGGTGATGAGTGAAGCGGGACATGATCACAATCAAGACTTTGATTTAACCTGGCCGAGGTAACCGAGCTCCGAGCAGGATCGGCGATGCGGCAACCAAAACTTCGTTTGCTGGACCAGGCGTCCTTGTGATACACACAGTTCATGGTTTTGTAGATACGACAATGCTTAGCCGTGCCACATGCAGCGTGTATCCTATCACGCGGCACACATGAAAGCTGGGCTAACGACGATGCTTAGCCGTGCCACATGCAGCCTGTAACCTATCCCGTGGCCCACATAAAAGCTGGGCTAATCGCTCGTCGAGCGTTCCACAATTCGCCTCAGCGCTCCTTAGCACAACACAATCGCGATAATCAGCTACACATACACGACTTGGCTCTGCGCGACGTGTGGCTGTGTAAGGCGGCTGCGTGGACTGGTCATCTTCGAAGCTCTCCGGCATCAAGGTCTTGTCGAAAGTAAGCCTTCGCATACGTTTCAAGACAGAACAGGTCGCATCTCTGCTGCAGTGGCCCGCAACTCGACAACCCATTGCAGCCCAGAAGCAACCCCCTCTTTTTGCAGCTGTTGGGACGCTTGTTCTTTGTCTTGTTGCCCTGAAGATGCTCGGGTCTCTGGTAATATCCCAAATATGTGGGGCCACATCCTAGCTTCCATCGCAAGGGAGGGCCATCGTCATGTATCGGCGAACCCTTTTGCTTACGACGCCTGCCCCCGAAGCTGGGCTGGAGCACCAGGGCCTTAGACTTGACATAGCGTCTCCTCCAGGTGCCTGGGTTTACCTCCATCAAAGGAATCAACTTCTCCCACCTGTGCGTGTTTTCCGGTGTGCGCAAAGGCTCCAGGACAATTCCTTGGGCCGAATACACCATGTTCAGGAAGAACCGCCCGTGCGCGATCTGACTCGAGGACATGGGATCCGGTAGAATTGGATGCCACTCCATGGCACGAAGGAGCGAAAGTGAACGAATTTGGTGCTAAGCGCACAGAAAGCGATTTGGCTCGAGCAGAGGCTCCGATGATTATGCAAGAAGTCTCCACATTCGCTCAGCCAGCGTTTTTGTATTATACGCACGCCGCATGCGTCTAGCATCTGTCAGCACTCTGAAGCATGAAGCAGATCAGATGGGGTAAGCGCAACAGGCATAAAACATCCCCGCCTGCAAGCTTTCGTCAGGTCTGTCAACGAAATTGAGCTCTCGGCACCTGGCACGTCAACAAAACGGCATTATCTCTTGGCCGCATCACACCCCGTCGCCAGAACTGCATGCGACTGTCGGTCGCAAGGAATTTGTTTCCCTTCGCTTGCATGCTAACACATCCCTCTGCCGCACAGCCTACCCGATTGACTTATCCGATAGTTTGAAGTTTTGCGACACGGCGAAGCATGTTTCCACTAAGGCAATATGGGTTTGTCAGAATAGCAGGAGCCCTACCAGGGATGTTGGGATTGGGGTATGTTTCGCGGGTATGTTTCAGGGTATGTTTCGGGGTGTGTTTCGGGGTATGTTTCGGGGTATGTTTCGCGCTATCTGGGGCATACCATGGTAGATGCTGGCTGCGCTAATGATGAGCCTGGTTGGAGGCTCTGGTTCTTTGCAAGCGCAGGGACTAGCTTTGTGTACAACCCGTACCCAAAGGGCTCTTTGTTTGGCAACTGTGGATACTTTGCGGTACACTAGCTAGCACTTCCAGTCCCGCCACCACCCCAAGTCACCGCCTAGGGTTCGTAGCAGCTAAGGCTTTAGTTCACGACCTACAGCTCACGCAGACCCTCACACTTTTTAGCGGTGTGGTGAAGGTTCCCTGTCGGTCTGAGAAAGTTTCTAGCCTGAAACCGCAGTCAAGGCTAGCCAATCTCCAGGGTGGGATGGGTGGGCACTTCAAATTTGCCCCCCCAGGGGGCTCTTTAGGACAATGGCCACGGACATAGCATGTTCGTCATCGGCCATATGATTCGAACTAGCGGAAGCACCTGTGATGTTTCCTTGCAAATACCGTCGATGTTTCACTAGCCGAAACACCTTCGATGTTTCACCGACGGAAGTTTAGCGCTAGCATACACGGTGGTACCTCGGCACGAGTGCGTAAAGAGGAGTGTGATCCATCCATAAAGGTACCACAAGGAGTGCCGGGAATGCTCTCGTCGAATCTGCCAGGCGCTTGGAATGGCTTTGGTTTTTGAAGTTATCCGAAGCTAAAGCACCGAAAGCCTGCAAAGCTCCATACGCAAATGCTCGACACTAACTTGCTTTTTCAGCTCGAACTGCTGCTGCTGCTGCTGCTGGAGCTGCTGTCAGCAGCTTCGGCCAAGTTCACAGCCAAAACAGCCTTTGTGCGAGCTGCCTTGCTCTTCTGCTTGGCCGCTCTCCTTTCTCTTTGAAGCATCGCCTTCATGAAAGAAGCTCGCCTGCAGGCACCATCTTTACCAGACGATGCGAAACGCAGCTGTTTTTCTCTCCTCCTAGCGAGGAGAGCCACGTTGAGCGGATCCTTCTCTGGCGCTGTCTTGCGGTAGCTCATACGCCATGCAGCATCAGTCTTGATGAGAATGTGGCTGAGAGGCAAGATACGCTCGCCAGAGACGCGGTCCGAGAAAACCAGGTTATAGAGCTCAACTCCGCGCCGCCCTCGCTTGAACTGAATACAGTACGTGTACTCGATGGAGAGATCTGTGGGGCCGGCATCAAGTTTCTTGATCTGCGCGGGCTTCGTCGGCGTGAAATTCACAATCTTGTACGCAGGCCCACCTGGAGGTGGATCCAGCACCATCGTACCAGCAGCTCCTGCCTCCAGTGCAGCCTGCATGTCCTCCAAACTCTCGATTGTGTGCTCCCTAGCCCAATCGCTGACCCAGCGTCTCTGCAGGCCGAAGGCACCATCGCACCGTCCTTTTCCATGGTGCTCTGCGTGAAAGTTCAACGTGGCATTCTCAAAGCGCTTGTCACACTGCTCTTTGATAGCCCGCGCGAACTCGTAGCAACGAAAGTGCGGTCCGCAGTCTGCCCACACGTTAAGCTCAGTGTGCTCGGCGGTCAAAGGCAGCCGTCTGAGGAGATCTTCCAAAGCCGTAACAGCATGGCTGGCGTCGTGGTTAAGAATTTGACTGATATAATGGTGATACTCTCTCATTTCGCTCTCTTCTGACCAGTAGTGGACATAAAACCCAAGTGTCGTCATGGATTCTCTGGCAGTTGCCCAAAACCAATCTTGTGCCTCTTCCGGACCCAAAGGCCAAGTCATATTCTCCATGAAATCCAGCTGCACATCCACGCAGCACCTGCGGTTTATAGCAGAGTGAGAGCATGTCGTCGTCGTCGTCGTCGTCATCGTCGTCGTCATCGTCGTCGTCATCGTCGTCGTCGTCGTCGTCCTCGTCGTCGTCGTCGTCGTCGTAATAGTAATAGTAGTAGCTGCCGCTGCCGCTGCCGCTGCCGCTGCCGCTGCCGCTGCCGCTGCCGCTGCCGCTGCCGCTGCCGCTGCCGCTGCCGCTGCCGCTGCTGCTAGCAATTTGGGGGTTTCCGAAAATAGGGGACCCTAATATAGTACCCTAAATAGTAGGAACCTTATTATAAGGACCCCAAAAGTAAGGTACCCCTTATTTTCGGAAACTCCCATTTGTTTTATTATGGTAGGAATAATAGCAATAACAATACGCATGGCAATAACAACAACCATAGAAATAAACAGAGCGAAAGCAATAACCAAAGTAAGAAAAACAGCAATGACAGTAGCAATAACAAGAAAATAACAGTAACGATAGCGAAAACAATAACAACATCAACAGCACCAGCACGAACAAAAACAGCAATAGTAACAACAATAGTAATAGCTTTCCTTACTATGAGCATGACATTACTTCGTAGAGCTTGGGAGGGTCAGGTTCTAGCTGACGGCCTGGGCAGAGACTGCTCTAACGACTCGCGTGCCAGGCTCTGCCTCTCGACGACTTCGAAGTGGTGGCTACAACTCTCGAGCACGTCAAGCTGCTTGCCCAAAGACACGGATGCTGCAGCTTCTGCTTCTCGCAGCTGCAATCGTTTCATACCGGTGCCAGGAACCGTGGGCACATTCACACGCCTGTCACAGTTTATGTCGATGTACCTCCGCATTCTCCTCAGGTACGCCAGAGAATCCTTGCCTTCTGGATGCGGACTGGTCTCTTGCAGCGATTCCCACTCCTTGTCGAAGCGATTGAAGTATGAAGCCTCCACTGCCGTAATGTTACCTCTACATGTGCCGATCTCGCGTCGCAGCATCGGTATGACCCTGTTATCATACTTGTGGCAGTAGACGCACACGTCTGTTCGGCACTTCAACCGCACGAAATTCTTATGATGTTTCCTCAAGTGTCGGAACCACGTGTCTTTGCTCATGAGCTGCTGCATCTCTGTGCTGTTCATGAAAAGCTTGTTGCGGCTCTTCTTCAAGTTGTGAACGTATAAAACACTGTCGCCCACCTTCACCAGCTTGCTGGATGCAGTGGAATTCTCCAGCAGATAACGCCTGACTTTGTCAATGGTGGATTGTGCATCCACCTTGCGCTTCCTTCCGCCGGCCTTTATGGGACAGCGTCGTCGGCTTATCAGAGTTCGGGTGGTTTTGGATCAATTACGCTGTAGTGCAAGCTTTTACGCGAGTCTCAGGTTGGGGCTTAAGGCCTAAAAGGGTTTACGTTCTCACATCTCGGACAAATCAGGCGAGGCCTTAGAGGGTTTAGGACTTAGGGCTTAGGGTTTAAACCCTCTCTCCCTGCCCTTTCGGTCCCACGGTTCACGACGGCCGTTCGCCCTAGGGCCCGGGAGAGAGGGGGGGCGGAGGAAGGTCTCAGCTTCGTTCTTTCTTGGTTTGCGCTTACGCTTCAGTGCCGTTTTACGGCTTAGATTTTACGGCTTAGAGTTTATGGTTAAGCCCTAAACCCTAAACCCTAAACCCTAAACCCTAAACCCTAAACTTTAAATCCTAAACCCCTAAACCCTAAACCCTAAACCCTAAATCCTAAACCCTAAACCCTAAGATCGGAAGAGCG